GGGGGGGGGGGGGGGCAGGGTGTCACATCCTGTGAACACTCACTTTCTTATTCCTGTGCCTGTGAGCTTCAGCTGGGGCGCAAATTGCAAAGTATTGAGTGTTAAGCTGTTGGGCCAAGTTGATTACAGCGATGGAGGAGCTGTCAAAGGCAGCACGTGCTTTTTCAGGCATTTATCTCCCTTGTTTTTAATTTCCTGTCTATTAACCTAACAGATAGATTTACATCTATGTCTAATATCCAGGTTTCTTATCTCATACCATATGATGATGATGATGATGATAATGTCAGTTCCATTAATGCTGCTCCTGCTAATGATGATGATAATAATAATAATAATAATACATTAAAAGAATAAATTAAAAATAATATTAAGTCTCTTGTGGACTAACAAATATGTTGGCATTTGCATTTTTTTCCACCATTTCCATCCTTAGCCTCTAAACATGAATATTTGTGAAAAGAATCCATTATAGTAGCTGAACCTTAGTCCAGGTCCCCGAATTGCATGTGATGGCACAAGTGGGCTATGTCACCACTGCATGCAGCAGAGGGTTAGGGGGCAATTGAAATTTCCTGAAATATGCCTGCTTTTCTTTTCCGGAGTCTCTGACACATGCCTAACCGTCTGCTTCAGAGTGTATCGAACATCCTGTGTTTTACTGGACTCGGCCCAGGCCAGTGGCGCAGGTCGTATGTGTGTGTGTGTGTGTGTGTGTGTGTGTGTGTGTGTGTGTATGTGTGCACACGGGAGGAAAGGAGAGGCTCGCCCCAGGTGCTGTGTGGAAGACTAGTGATTTTGTTGTGATGCTGCACAAAACAACAAATCCCAGTCTGCCGCCCAGCACGGGGCAAAGGTCAGCCCACCGGCATCCACAAGCACCACGTCAGGACCAGCAGAGGTCCCCTGGTTTCCACTTGGATTACTGGTCTAAGAAGTAATTTGTGCTGAGAAATTTCTGGATGCTTGTGACTGTACATTGCAATTGCTGTACATTAACTGGTGATTTGTGAGCCTGTCACATTTTTCTTCTGTGAATAAACGATTATGAAGCGTATTAAATTAAAGGTTGATTATAGACACTGATGATGACAGATCTGTGCTGTGTGGAGGCTTTTAAAATAAAGTAAATACCTTTTTTGTCTGTGCTAGTGGTGACTCATTTAATTTGTACATTATGGGGTGATAATTCAATATAATAATAATGTAATCATTTGTTTTATTTTTCACACCAGGACCTTAAACATGCAGAGGTATTTTTATGAAAATCACTCAAATGCATCATATACAGCCTAATGTTTCATAAATGCCTGTAGCTGAATACAATATCAACAGCAATTTATTTGTGGACAAATACAATTTAAAAGTATATCAAGAGCATTTCAATTCATGTACAGTAAATATTCATATCATATTTAGACATTCATTACAAGGCATTATCTGTATTAAGAGCCCGTATCCATACAGACCTAGTGAAAGATTGTCAAGCTCAATGCGACCCTGCATTGCGCAAGTTTCAGAAATGTATATAGGCAGTCTGTTTACTAAATATCTGATATACTTTAAATTAAAATCTTCAATTATTTTCGAATTTGTAGTGCAAAAACCTATGTGTAAGTTGGAGGGGGACGGTGTTTAAAATACAAGAAAGACTGACAGTATTGTTCCCAGTTTATACGGTTAAATCAAATTATGCACCTGCCGCAACGTTTGGTCGGGGTTTAAATACGGTTGCTACTTTTTAAAAGGTTATGGGCATTAAACTCATATTCTGAAAAGGTTGCTATTAATTGTTAAATGCCTACATAACATCATCAACTAAACCTCTTTCTTTAACTTTTGAGTTATCCCATGAATTCAGGTAATTCATTGCGTAGCATGTTTGAAACAAACAATACTCAGGTTCCCATAACTCGCCCCTGCAGAGTTCGCCAGATATAGCACCGCGCCATGTGTAACGGGATATGTAGTTTAATTAGGAAAACAAGCTGGTGGATTGACTGCACGCTCAATTAGGCAGACATCATTTCCCAGTACACTCCAAGAGTGTTTCCGGTGGCCTGCAGAGTAACTATACTGCAATGCTTTCTGGGAAATGTCGTTAAAGCAAAACCCAATGTTACTTATCTCTAAGGCGCTTTAGTTTCAAAAAGACTATAATATTCGTGATGCCTAGCGCATAAAGTAAACAGAGAACTGTCAAACCGCAAAGTCGCCATTTTAACTGTAGCCTTAAAATGGCTGAAAAATGCAAGGGAGAGGCAGGAACACGGACAAGGTTTTGTTTTTAAGTTGAAACAGACTGCCGTCTAGTATTTATTATAAGGTTAAATGGCTAAGGGAAGAGCGGGGCGTAAGTAAAATGGATGTTAAAACTGCGGTTTTTAACGCGGCTAGAGATGGGAAGCTGAAACTTATACAGAAGTTGCTGAGCAACAAAAGTCCGGAGGAGTTGGAAGCGCTTGCGGAGGAGAAGACGCAGGGAGGCACCCCGCTCCTCATCGCTTCCCGGTACGGTCACCTAGAAGTGGTGGAATACCTCCTCGAGCACTGTAAGGCTAATGTGGAGCTCGGCGGCTCCGTTAACTTTGACGGCGAAACGATTGAGGGAGCGCCCCCTTTGTGGGCGGCTTCGGCCGCGGGTCACCTGCCCGTGGTGCGAACCCTGCTGAAGCACGGCGCTTCGGTAAACAACACCACGCTGACTAACTCTACACCGCTGCGTGCAGCCTGCTTCGATGGCCACCTAGAGATCGTCCGCTACCTGGTGGAACACCGCGCTGATATGGAGGTGGCTAACCGGCACGGCCACACTTGCCTGATGATTTCCTGCTACAAGGGCCACAAGGAGATTGCCAAGTTCCTGCTGGAGCGAGGTGCGGACGTCAACCGCAAGAGTGTAAAGGGCAACACTGCGCTGCACGACTGTGCGGAGTCTGGAAGCCTGGACATCATGAAGATGCTGCTGAAATGCAACGCACGCATGGAGCGTGATGGTTATGGCATGACCCCGCTGCTGGCCGCCAGCGTGACAGGCCACACCAATATCGTAGAGTACCTGGTGCACCAGCCACGCTCCACCAGGGAGGAGCGCGTTGATGCCCTTGAGCTGTTGGGTGCCACCTTTGTGGACAAGAAGCGTGACCTGCTGGGTGCCATGCGCTACTGGCGCCGTGCCATGGAGCTGCGACAGCCAGGCGACCGTGCTGGGGCCCTGCTCAAGCCACCGCAGGGGCCCCCAGTGCCCGCGTATGACTGTGCTCGGGAGGTGAACAGCCTGGAGGAGCTGGAGGCGCTCATCACTGACCCTGATGAGATGCGCATGCAAGCCCTGCTGGTTCGCGAGCGCATCTTGGGCCCCTCACACCCAGACACCTCTTACTACATCCGGTACCGCGGTGCCGTCTACGCCGACTCTGGCAACTTCGAGCGCTGCATCAGTTTATGGAAGTATGCGCTGGACATGCAGCAGAGCAACTTGGACCCACTGAGCCCCATGACGGCCAGCAGCTTCCTGTCCTTTGCCGAGCTTTTCTCCTTCGTGCTCCAGGACCGTGCCAAGGGCACTCTGTCCACGCGGGTTACCTTTCATGACCTGATGGGTGTGCTGAGTAAGAGCGTGCGCGAGGTGGAGCGGGCAGTGGCGCAGCGTGACGGCGCCCCCGAGGCACCACAGTTCACCAAGGCGCTAGCCATCATCCTGCACCTCATCTACCTGCTGGAGAAGCTGGACTGCACGGCCGAGCAAGAGCACCACAAGAAGCAGACCGTCTACCGGCTACTCAAGCTCAACCCCCGGGCCCGAAATGGCTACAGCCCATTGCACATGGCTGTCGACAAGGAGACCACAGCGGTGGGCCGCTACCCGGTGGGTCGCTTCCCGTCACTGCCGGTGGCCAGCCTGCTGCTGGAGTGTGGAGCTGACGTGGACTCGCGGGACTGCGACAACAACACGCCACTGCACGTGGCAGCTGCTAACGGTTGCCCGGATATCATGAGCGTGCTGGTGCGGGCTGGCGCCCACTTTGACGCCACCAACGCGCAGCGCAAGGCTGCCTATGAGCTGCTGGATGAGCGCAGCGCCGGCCGGCACGCGCTGCACCCCCTCAACTACGTCACCCTGCAGTGCCTGGCGGCCCGAGCCATCGAGAAGCACAGACTGCCGTACAAGGGGCTTATCTCCGAAGAGATGGAGGCCTTCATAGAGCTGCACTGACCCTCTACCCCAACCCTAAACCTCCATCTCTCTCATTCTCGCTCTGCCCCCCCCCCCCAGGCTTAGACCAAATCAAAGCAATAACCCCACTAATCGAAGATGATAAACCTACCCTCACTGGTTTCCTTTCTTTGTACACTTTTTTAAAAAGATTTTAAAACGGAAAACCTTGAAGCATCAGGTTGGGTTTTTTGCTCTTATCAAGTGGGTCAATACTTCTGATTTGATTTAAGCTGCCGTGGTACCTTCTTCTCTTGCTTTCTGTTCTTCACGAGCAGGGAAAACAAAGCTTTTGACCCTGTCCCATCTATCCTGCACCAGATGGGGCAGCTTGATTTGCAGGTAGTGACAGGTAGTAAATGGAGATGGGGCAGCAGGGGTGGGGCCCCTGGGGAATTGTGCACTTTGATAAACGCATGCGATATGGTATTCGGAGTGGGTGCTTCATTTATTCGCATTAGCTCCTGTACCGAGTTGGTCCATCAACTTCCGTGGGGTAAATCAGTTGAGCTCTCTGGCCATTGGCTACCCTTTAATTGATGAATCTCGGAACTAGAGGAGAGCAGGATACCGTGCCAAATCGCCGCCGGGAGTGTCCTCTCTCTGGGCGTTGACTATTTGAGAC